ACCTGCAACAGATTACACTATAGGCCAGAAGTAGTCTTCATCGACCGCACCATTTACTGAATATTGCGGTGTACCTGAAAGTAACTTTGTTTAGTTTACTGTGTAGCCAGCACTGCTAATGTAATGATTATTGAAGTTTAGAGTCAAATTGCCAGGGTCAAGCAGTCACCTTCTGGAAGCTACTCGAGCAGCGAGAATGAAAAAGCCGCGACTGGGCAAGCACAGAGGCCTTGAGTCACCGGCCCTTGTGTCACTGGAACAGTCCGTACACTCTCTTTTGTTTTAGCTACAGATACAACTTCCACTGTTCAAACTTTTCATTTGTTGTTAATTCATCCGCCAATTTTATTCGCGGCATTATATGTTGGATTTTGGAGCGCCAAAAGGCCTTCATTCATACTTGGGATGATACACTAAACTTGTTAGGCCTACTTGCAGAACACCTGCAGATAGAGTAATCAATAAAGTGCTACCCCAACTTGTCCCAGGCGATCAGCACGCTCAGGCTAAACGAGAGCATGAAGCATTTTGGCAATGAAGCGGCCCAGGGACACTGGGAGGATCAATTATCGCCAATGAAGACTAGAGCAAGCGATAGAGATTTGATATAGCATTGCACATCTGTCCCCGAATTCGATAAAGATAGTCCCAGCTGAAATGGTCCCTGTCAAAATGGCCTCGGACAAAATGGTCCCAAATGCGAACCAGGGCAAAATGGTTGCAGTAACTATTGTGGCATATAGGTTGCTTGCTCTCGGGGGTTAGTCGACTGCCCGTACCCGATGCAAATTGAACATACAGAAAATTGTTACAGCCAGAGATAGTCAATGGTCACCTCTAGATGGCCTTGTCATGAAAAACAAACTTGGCGAAGCCAAGTAAATACAGCAAAAGATACGTGCTCAGCAGCAATGCCACCACAATGGTTGCTCATACTAAAGCAGTAATACTGCTAATAATAATGTGCAGTGAAAGGATACTCTTAGTCTTTTGTTTACACACTGAAACTGCTTGCTTGAAGAAAGGTATTTGCTATGCAAAAAAAAATCAACCATAGGCTCAAAAAAGCGGAAGCAAAGTTTGCAGTCTTCATTTCAGGTGAGAAGACCAGAGGAAAGGCGATCGAAGTCAAATGCCATGCCAGCCAGCCGATGACACTAAGCAGAAAATCGGTCGAAAATGCTGTAAACAATCTGATTGAAGAGCGGCATACGTCATAGTAAACAAACGTTTGGAGGAAATTTCTTGGGTTTTACTCCGAGCCTCTTCAAAATGACTAGAATGCGAGCAATTGGTTTTAACGGCTTTGGGTTAACATCTCATATGCACAAATCCAAGTAATCAATCATAAGGCAAAAAAAAAAAAAAGCTCAACGAAGGAGCAGTTAGTCAGCTAAAGCCACGGCTCGAGTGGGGCCTCTTGACGAATATTTCAAAACCATCACCTAACGATCCAGCTTTTAGTTAACGAGTTCCACAAGATGTGCTAAAAGTACACATATTGCATAAGTAGAAATGAAGAAGTCTCTGTGAACGCTCAGTTCGATGCTGCACTTCAAATATCATACCACATATGCTTGCAGTTGCTGGATATGCTTCATCACTCGAGTACAGGTAGTTTTAACAGTACAAAAGTTTTGAAGCGCCTGTGCCGAAGAGTGCAATAAAGTCAGTTAGTTCCTCTAGACTGGCACCAAGTCTCCATCCCATATCTTTTCACAATGCAAAACAATGTCTTGACATGCATTAAAAAGAAATACTGAAAGCATGCCACCCTCTACCCAAGAATCGACACAAGAAACCACAACTCTATCTGCTGCAATATGCACATCTACTTGGCAGTCAGCCTTTCGGAGGCGAAACGGCTACAATTAGGTCCTAGTATCATGCAGAATGGCAAAGTGGGAACTTTCTAAAGAGCTAGGTGTAAACTTTTATTTATGAGAAACAGCAAAACAGAAGTCTGTTTACATATTTATCATTTGTAGATTTTGCTCGAAACAAATGAGATAAGAGTAAAATAAAAAATGACGGCAATGATTTAAGACATGCAACAAATGGATTACACAATGCAAAGATATGCATGCATTGATCAATTCAAAAGACACTTAACCCAAATAAGACTATACCGTATTTACTTGCATAATGAACACACTTCTTTTCCCGAAAAATTGACACATATTTTGAGGGTGCATTCATTATGTGGGGTAAAATTTTTGCATTTACACACTTCGCGCAAATGTCATTCTAGGTGCCAATATGACATGACAGGGTGATGAGGCACGTCCCTCCTGACGGATGGACACCCAGGGCTGGTCATGGGCTCACCACAGTAACCATGCTCTATAAATTGCAAATCTTTTTTAGGGCACTTTCAACGTGCCTTTTGCCGAAGCAAAAGCGCCCTACGAAGCTCACTCAGCACAGAAAGTGACGCGACCGTTCTTAGGCTTAACCACTTTTATTATTTCTGTCCGAAAGCGGACCACAGACAACAGCGTGTTTGTTGACATCAATGCATCTGATAGACGAAACATGTCCGGGGCTGGGATATTCCTTGACCCCAGCTTCGTTACATGTGCGCCACTCGGTTTCACGGTTGATCCCTTCCGCAACTACGCACTTGCAGGCATTACGAGAGCAATTTGGCTTGGCTTGGCTTGGCTCGACTTGACTTGACTTGGCCTGGCTGCTTGGCGGCAAAAGAAAATTGGCTTGGTGGCTAGCTAAGTTGGACATAGTTCGAGACTCGTGCAGCCGAAAATTGGAGATACGTTCATTACGCGAGGAAAAAAAAAGGTCACAATATTGATGCCCGTTGTGGGGGGTGCGTTCATTATGCGAGTAAATACGGTAGCTCAGTTTGTATTCATTGACACTTACAATCATCTGACCCATGCCAACCTGTAGAAAAAAGTATAAGAATGCTGGCCATCAAGCAAAGATAGAAACAACAATCATCTGACCCATGCCAACCTATAGAAAAAAATATAAGAATGCTGGCCATCAAGCAAAGATAGAAACAAAGTTTGCAACATGGAAACAACTGCCAAAAACAAGAACACAGAGCAGCAAAAAATTGTGACCGCCCAAGCAGTTGAGAGAGTGATAATCTGAAAGCAGGTGTCATATAAATACATTACACAGATGCCAGTGCAGGGAAAGAAGGAAAAACACATTGAGTACGGACATGGTAGTTCCAAATTCTATACACCTTTTGTTACACAGTATCAAAACTTTGTACAATGTCAATTTATAGCATCACCTGATGGGCATTGCGGTGATTCAACTAGCAATGTCCCAATCGGCAGCAGAAAGCACTGCGGTGCACACGCCCAATTGGCAATCGGTCCCCAATGAAGATAAATGCTAAAACGAGATCGTAGCACGGCAGAGGATGTCAAAATAAAAATTTTGGAAAAAGTTACTTCACACTTACTTCAATAGTAAAATCTGCAAGAGATGAAAAATCAAGTGGCGAAATTGAAACTGTCAAAGTTATTAAAAAAAAAAGAATTCTGGTCATACACTTATATCCAAGTTTCAAGTCAAAACATACAAAACAAACAAGGCCTGAAGTCAAAACATATAAAAATAATTACTATACAAAAAAATCAATGAAAACATTTTTACAAACATATTAAACCACAGCTCGAATGTGCAAATGCATGTTCGAGGTGTGGTGCAAATAATCTCGGAGTAGCAGCAAAAACATGGCCCAGTGTGCATTATTATGCAAACCATAGAGAGTTAGCTGTTCAGAAAAAGTTAAACTATGTTTACCATTTAGAAGACCTGCCTCTTGATCACTGCTGGCAAGAAATCATTCTCTACTCCCCAATACCTTTGTAGTATGACAAGCAGTGGGATTTGCACGAGAGGCTCAAGAGCAATGCCAAAAGTCTGGCTCTGTGTGCAGAATCTTTGTGGCTAAGCCAACGGGCATTTCGACTGAACATTCTCGGATATTGCTGTCACTCGAAAGGTCTATTGCTGCTAGTATCTTTATGCAAATGCACTGAGGGCTAGTCAACCACATCTGTTGGCATGCATCTGATGAGGAAGGACTACTTAGAAAATGACCAGGAAAGCTGCTGGCTTATTACTGCTGGCTTATGCGTAAAAAGCAAAGCTCATTACGCATAAGCGCATCAGTGTGGCTAGCTTAACTACTAACCTAAGCAAAGCCTTCCGAGCTTTGTACACTCTCGGGTATAATAAACTGGCATGAAATTCTGTACAAGTGGAAGAATTATACACACATTCCAAGGCATGGCAGGCTTAAGTTACGGGCTAACCATTAGGCGTCCCGCACATATGCATCTAAGTCTGGTGGATCAAACTCCTACTCTAAGCAGTTTCTGGGGCATTCTTTGCACAATCTTCACGACTGTGTGTTCGATTATGGTGGGTGAAACTCTTCTTATGGGCAAAAGCTTCAGGACAGAGCTTGCACATAAATGGCTTTCACTATATAGTGAGTTCAATTATGGTCTCTCAGATGTGAATCCCATGCAAAGGCTTGGGATAAAAACTTGCACTTACAAGGTTTTTCACCGTGTTCAGTTAGTGAGGCTCAAATCGGAACTGTGAGAAAACGCTTGGGAAAAAAGCTGGCACTTGGATAACTTATCACCTTTGTGAGTTTAATTGTTAGTCAGATATCTATTCTGAACAGAGGCTTGGGGGCACAGTTGCATTTACAAGGTGTTTCGCCAGTGTGTTCGATTGTGGTAAACCAGTAATCTATTTTGAAAAAAGGCCTGGGGCAAACCTTGCACTTAAAGGCCGACCTACAAAACCATTTTCCGCGGGAGAAGAGGTTTCCTCCTTGCCACCCAGAAAGGAGGAAACCCCTTCTCCTTTCCACGGAGACTAGCTTCCGGACCCGCCGTTTTCAGGGGAGGAGGAGGAAGGAGTGCGAGAGGGGAGGGAGCGAAGGTCACTGGGGAGCACTTTCCTACCCTGCGGAAAATGGTTCCGTAAGTCGGCCTTTAAATGACTTTTTACCAGTGTCTTTGATTATGGTACAGTAAACATTCGCTAATTCGACCTCGAAGGGACCTTGAAATTTGGTTGAATTATCCGAATGATTGAATTAAAAAAAGGACAGAAAAACGGTTAGAACTAAACTTCCTTTTATTGTCCAAAGTACTCACGGATGGTCTGATGCCGTCTGCGCTTAAAACGCATGTCCAAAAGCATGCTTCGGAGAGCAGCGTAACTAAACGTCACGTCCCCAAAAAATCGTATACAAAAAAAAAAAAGAAAGAAAAAACGAAAAAAAGCAAGTTTTACGAGCCGACTTCAACTCCGCACGCTCAACAAAACAAAACAAAAGAAATTTCCGGTTTCCGACGCGCAAGATGGACCGCACACGATGCTATGGAGAAGCGTTTTGAGAGCGTGTGCTGAGAAAGCTTTGAGGCAACTTTGGCGCCGGGCGGCCAGACCGCCGGCGACAAAGAAAATATAACAACCCAAAAAAAAAAAGGAAAAGAGAACTTACACTTTCCGGTGCGTAAGATGGAGCGCACACGATGCTACAGAAAAACTCTTTGAGAGCGCGCGCTGGCTCGTGCGCGCCGCGCCCGACCAGATGTTACGTTTTCCGCGCTACTCCACGCCAGAGTGGTTGCGCTGGTGTCATTCGCTACAGTCGATCTTAACGGCGTAGAAAAGCAGGCACATATTTCCGCACGTTCGGCTTTGCAGCAAAGGGCCCGTGTTTTGCTGTACGTTTGTGGTTTCTCTGCCGCGGTGCCATGCAATGTGAGCCCGTGCGCAATCGCTCGGGACAAATTATCCGATAGGAAGTCCTCCCGAGGTTCAAACTACTGAACTTTTCCTCCCATAGAAATGTATGGGCGCTTGCTGAGACTTTTGAACACGATCAAATTAAACGAAAAGTCGAATTAACCGAGGTCGAACTAACGAAAGTTTCCTGCATTTCAGATGTGATTCCCGAGTAGACTCTGGAATCACATCTTGCACTGAAAGGACGTTTCTCCTTTGTGTTCAATTATGCCTAGTTGGTAGAAAATTTTTAGCAAAAACGTGCGAACACAGCTTGCAGTTTTAAGGTGTTTCACCCGAGTGCACCCAATTATGAAGGGTCAAAAGAGAATTGTAAGCACACTTTCGGGCAAACCTTGCACTTAAATGGCTTTTCATCGGTGTTTGTTCGATGACTGGACAGATTAATTTTCCCAAGAAGGCTTGAGGGCATAGCTTGCAATTGTATGTTTTTTCTCCCGTGTTTTTTATTGTTGTAAAGCAGAGTGAAATTGTGAGCAAAGGGCACAGCTCACACTTATCAGGTTTTCACCAGTGTGTGTACAATTATGGACAGTCAAAAGGGAATTATGAGCAAACTCTCAGGGGCAAAGTTTGTACTTGAACGGCTTAACCTATGTGCGTTTGGTTGTGGCGGAACAGACTGCTGTTGTGGACAAAGGAACGGCGGCACAGCTTGCACCGAAATGGCTTGCACCGATATGGCTTTGCATCAGTGTGTGTTCGGTAATGCGTTCTCAGATCTAAATTCTGAGCAAAGGCTTTTGGGCAAAGGTTGCACTTAAATGGCTTCTCACCAGTGTGTGTTAAGTTATGCTTCCTCAGAGATGAATTCAGAGCAAATGATTTTGTGCAAAGCTTGCACTTAAATGGTGTTTCAACTATGTGTGTTTTACTGTGATGAGACAGACCGCTACTGTCAGCAAAGGCTTGGGGGCACAGCTGGCACTTAAATGGCTTTTCAACAGAGTGTGTTATATTATGCCTCCTGAGATAGTAAATGAGAGCAAAGGCTCGGGGGCAAAGCTTGCACTTAAATGGCTTTTCAACAGTGTGTGTTGACTTATGCTTTCTCAGAGATGAATCCAGAGCAAATGATTCTGGGCAAAGCTTGCACTTAAATTGCTTTTCACCAGTGTGTATCTCATTGTGAATGGTCAGTGTGGAATTGTGAGAAAAAGCTAAGGGACACAGCTTGCACTTATAAGGTCTTTCACCAGTGTGTGTTCCATAATGCCTGCTCAGTGCAGAAATGTGAGAAAAGGCTAGGGGACACAGCTTGCACTTAAACAACTTATCACTCTTGTGCTTTTCAGTGTTGCTTGGCACCTGGTATGTAGAGCCAAATGACATGGGAGGTCGCTGGAACTTCGATTGTTCATCAACATGAGCAACCAGGTGGCTCACAATCCCACGATGATCTGTGTTGACATAGGTGCAGAAACAGCATCCAAACCAGATGTCCTTGGGGGCTTTTAGTGGGCAGCTGATCTCTCCCAAAAGTGCAGCTCCCTCACCTAAAAGGCCTATGTATATTAGTACACACAAATAAAGCACAACCAAGATCACCACATGCTTTAAAAATAAGCAGCCATTATTGCAGTTCTGCTTCAGCTGAATGGTATATTTTCTTTTTGATTTTTACTTCTGTTCAAGGAAGCACTGAAAGAGGGTTGGCTCACTTAAGTGATTCGTTAGTGTGACCACATAAACCTCTTTAAGCACATATTTTTCCCAGAAATACTGTTTCTTAAAGTGATTGGTTTATATGGAAACTCTCCATGAACTTGCTCATGTACATGACGTCTCAATGTCATGTGATGTCATAGTGTTGCATGGCACCATGATGATGTCTATGCTAAATTCTGCAGGAAAATTTATGTCAAGTGACCACTTCCACATTGCGGTATCACAATAAATTTAGAAGAAAAATTGATGCTGCATGACCACGCCACATTATGGCATCATGCTAAATTTAGTGGGAATTGATGTCATGTGACGCGATTTAAAGCTTGCATCAGCTTCTTTGCAAAACGTAGCAGGGAAAGGTATATACGTAATATGACATAATCTGGTGTCACGTCAGGTCACACCTACGACCCGTCAGGTCAGGTGGCCTTGGGTCATGTAACGTCAGTTCATGCGACTATGACTTGGCACTGTGATGTCGATTTTCTCGTAGATTTAGGAGAATTGCTATCACATGACCCTATGACATCACCGTGTCAGGTGCGGGGAAATTTATCAACTTACTGAAACAACTATTAAATGTTATCTAAACAAATTTAAGATCGCTGCTTCTATACTGCATTCCATGCATTATGGTCTTGGAAAAAAAAGGTCACTGCAAATTGTTTTATTAATTGTATGTGCTTATTTTTAAGGTTCTGTTTATGACATCACATTGCCTGTGAAAATCATTTCAATATATTTGCTGACTGGCGATCTCTACCTGGCCCAAAAACTCTGAACACAGAAAAAAACAGAATTTTGTGGACGATTAATTAAATCTTTTGGAAACTCTGACTTTCATGTAAAAAAAACCTAGTAGGGCAACCTCTGGTTTCACTAAAAATAAAATAAAAACATACAGAACCCTAGTTCTATCACATTCTTGGTGCTAGTGGGCAATAGTAAACTTAAGGATGCTGCAAGGCCCTTCTAGATCATTGATGGGTCCAGACGGCAATGCACTGCAGCGCTACCATAGCCTCCATTATTTCTACAATGACTGCTCTCGTGAGCCCTACCTGACCACAGTCAGACGCCCCAGTTAAACACCAGGACAGGGGTGGACTCATCTACCCGTCCAGAAAGCTACCGAGAGTGTTGTACTGTTTGAAGAAATTCATCAAAATCGCTTTAGCTACGAGAAGTTGTCTAAAGCAGCCGCTCAAAGAGGCAGTCGAGAACGCTACTCAAGTCTCGCTGCAGTGGAAAGTTCTAATGCGCTCATCTCCTGGACATCACTGAAGGTTCTTGGAGGTGCTGCCGCCCAAGTTTTCTCAATTTTTTTTTACTCACTTCGCATCGAAAGCGACGGACAAAAATGACGTCGCCAAAATTTTCGTTACGAAGCAGCTTTTGCGAAAAGGGCTCAACTTTTAAGGTACCAGAAGCAGACAGAATAATTATGTTTGATTTCTGTTCCATGTATGTTGAACATAAATCTGCGCTTGCTCAGCTTCTATTAGTGTGGTTGCCCACTGTTAACTGCCTACTAGCGCCACCTGCACCGCCTTCTAAACTGGTGTAGGAAGTGCGGCAATGGATTCTTTGTGGGATATTAAAGACCAGTGTGTTGCGAGCTGCCATCCAGTTCGGATGTCTTTTCTTCGCACTCCACACTCGTAACAATTGGCGACGAGGAAGAAGAAAAAAGAATGCCAACATTCGGCCGGATTGAAGCCTTCGAGGGGGGAGGCGATGAGTGGCCTGCCTACGTGAAACGACTTCATGAATTTTTCAACGCCGACGTCGTCGCTGCTGCGAAAAAGAAGTTGATTTTCTTGAGCTGCTGCGGCCAAAGGACGTACACCTTACTTCGGAACCTGGTGAAGCCCCTGACTCCACAGGACAAGTCACTCACCGAGATTCTGGCTGTACTCGGGAAGCATTACGCTCCTACACCTTCAGCCGTGGTTCAGCATTTTCGCTTCAACACCCGGGTACGTTCTGAAGCGGAATCAATCAGCGATTTCGTGGCAGCGCTCAAATGCTTATCAGAGCATTGTGCTTATGGAACCGAACTCGAAAACATGCTGCGCGACAGAATTGTGTGTGGCATCAACAACGCTACGATTCAGACCCAGCTGCTCGAGTTGCCAGACCTCACCTTCAAAATTGCTGTTCAAACTGCGCTCGCAATGGAATCTGCGAAGAATGCCGGCGAACTCTGCCAAGCTGGTGCAAGCATTCTGTCTACGCACAAGGTTGGAGACCCAGCCCAAAATACCAGCTGTTATCGCTGAGGAGAAAGAAGCCACCTGACACCTCAATGCAGACACATCGATTTGACGTGCCATTACTGTCAGAAGAAAGGTCATCTGCTGGCAGTGTGCAACTCAAGGAAGAACAGGAATCCGCTCAAATCAAAGGCTTCGTGGACGCCTCGTCGAGGTCAGCAAAGATCAACGCCTTCGGCTCAGATGAACACAGACCACAACGACGTTGACGCTTCTGAAGACTCAAGTCAATTCTCGCAAGCGATGACTTACGACATGTGGCACCTAAGTGGATCGTTCACAGTGTTACCTTTTCTGATCTCCGGTCTTCGGCAAACCTCTTTCCATGGAGCTAAATACCGGAGAAAGCGTCTCGATGACGTCTGCAGACAAGTTTAAAGCTGCATGTCCCAATGTGAGTCCCGAACCTTCAAACATTCTTTTGCGGGGATTTTCTGGAGACCTTGTACAAGTCAAGGGCAAAGCAAACATTCATGTTAAGTACAAAGGTCATGAAAAAGTTCTTCCACTGTTCATTACCACCGAACCCTCACCAACGTTGCTTGGCCGGAACTGGTTTTGCGCTCTGGGCCTGAGCTTCGAGGGACTTGAAACTTTGAACAAGCTGGCTGATGTTGGGACCATTATAAGTCAATTCTCTGGAGTCTTTGAAGAGGGTTTAGGCACCTTCAAGGGAATTTCTGCCAAAACTCTTGTGCCCACGGATGCTCCACCAAAGTTCTGCAAGCCCCGACCTCTTCCATTTGCACTGCGCGATCGAGTCACCCAGGAACTCCAGGGATTGCAACGGGAGGGGGTGATCGAGCCTCCTGTCAAAACTTCGGACTGGGCAGCCCCCATTGTTCCTGTCTTAAAGAAGGATGGCAGGGTGCGCATATGCGGAGACTTTAAAGTGACAGTAAATCCCGTGTCACATTTGGAAACCTACCCTGTTCCGCGTGTTGAAGAACTAAGGGCTGCGCTCTCAGGGGGAGACAAGTTCACGAAGCTGGATTTGCGGAATGCTAATCAGCAAGTTCCCCTGGACCAAGAGTGCCGTAAGTTTGCGACAATCAACACCCACATGGGTCTTTTCCTGTACACAAGGCTCTCATTCGGAGTATCTTCGGCCCCGGCCATATTCCAGCGCGAAATGGAGAATTTTTTCCGAGGCTTACCAAGCGTAGCCATTTACTTTGACGACACCATTGTCACGGGTGTTGATGATCAGGACCACTTGAAGAACCTCAAGAGCGTTCTTCAGCGACTTCAGGATGCCGATCTCAAGGTGAAGCTGGAGAAATGCGAGTTCTTTGCACCTGAAGTGGAGTACCTGGGCCACGTCATAAACAACCACGGACTGGCTCCAAACCCAAAGAAGGTGGATGCCATCGTCAACGCCCCTGTTCCTCGTAACGCGAAGGAACTTCAAAGTTACCTTGGCTTGATTAACTTTTACAGACGTTTCTTGCCAAATCTTTCATTGACGCTTCGTCCCCTGCATCTGCTGCTCATGGAGGGCAAGAGGTGGACGTGGCAGAAGGAGCAACAGCAAGCCTTTTGTGAAAGTAAAAGGCTCTTGACAAGAGCACCTGTTCTGGTGCATTACGACTCCAAAAAAGAGCTTCTACTCAGCTGCGACGCGTCACCGTACAATGTTGGCGCTGTGCTGGCGCATATCGAGTGATGGAAGAGAGCGACCAGTGACATTTGCGTCACGGCGTTTACTTCTGGCTGAACAAAATTACAGTCAAGTTGACAGAGAAGCTCTTGCTTTGGTTTTCGGCGTAAGCAAGTTTCACCAATACCTGTGGGGGAGACCATTCACTGCGGTGACCGTCCACAAGCCTTTACTCGGACTGCTGAACTCCGATCGAGGCGTGCCAAGTCAAGCCTCTCCCCGAGTTACAAGGTGGGCTTTGACCCTTTCATGTTACCAGTTTAAACTCATCTACAGACCTAAAAGGCTGTTGGGGAACGCCAACGGTCTCAGCAGAATGCCTCTTCCGACGAACAGCGCCCTCGATAGCATGCCAGCCGACGTGTTCATGCTGGAGCAGTCCTACCCTGGTGTGTTATCTCCAGCTAAAGTCGCTCGAATGACAAGAAGGGGTTCCTCTGCTCTCGCAGGTGGTGCAGGCTGTGCTCACTGGAACACCTTTTCCTGCCGGTGTAGACTGGAGTCCTTTCTCTGCCAGTGACAACGAACTCAGCCTACACGAAGGTTGCCTTTTGTGGGGATCTCGTGTAGTAGTGCCTACGCTTCTACAGCCCCAAGTGCTTGAACTTCTTCATGCTGGGCACCCTGGAGTAGAAAAAACCAAGATGATTGCCAGATGCCATGTCTGGTGGCCTGAAATCGATAATGCTATCGCCAATCAAGTGAGCGACTGCAATGTCTGTCAAGCTTATCACGAGTCTCCACGTGGCGTACCCATCACGCCTTGGCCTTTTCCCGAGAGGCCATGGTCCAGGCTCCATGTCGACTTTGGGGGCCCATTCATGAGCCACTACTTCCTAGTTATAGTAGACGCTTTTTCCAAGTGGGTGGAAGCGCATTCTGTTCCATCACC